TTTAATAAATCAATTGGCCAGATTGAAAGTAAATTAAGATCGAAGTGAAAAGATCATCACAATTTCCTAAACATTTTCATGGCTTCACCAATTCAAATCACCATTTCACAAATCTCAAGACAAGGAGAAAGACAGAATAAACACTCAAATCTCATGGGGAAAACACAATAGTACTCGGAATTCATATATAAAATCAAAGTCATACAATCTACAACAAGTAAATAACTTATCTCTAACTTTCCCTCTACTCTTACTTTCCCTCACTCTTACAATCTCTCGAAGAATTCCTCACAATTTTTACACACTAGTGAAACCTTTCTAACCTCTAGGAACTCTCTCTAGCACTTCTTTTCTCTTCAATTTTTGGCCAAAATATTCTTTTAAAGTTGTAGATGAGTATTCCCAAGAGTTGCCTAAGCATCCCTTCAAAATTTGGCTTTATCCAAAGCCTGATTGGGCATAACCGCCGAGCTCGCCGTCAGCGGCCTCGAGGGCACCGTCGGCGGACCTTCTTAATGAATTAATTATGAAGTTTAGGGAAAATCTCACCGTTGGCGGGGTTGATGGTGCCATCGACGCCCTAGTCCAATTCTGCACATTTTGGTCATTTTCGCTCCAAATTAGGGAAAATCTCACCGTTGGCGGGGTTGATGGTGTCGTCGACGCCCTAGTCCAATTCTTCATATTTTGGTCCTTTTCGCTCCAAATTCGCTCCTTTTTGCATCTTTTTGCTCCAATGACCCTAATTCATCATTCCTGCAACAAAACATCAAAAATACCTTTCTTTAAAGTGTAATATCATCAAAAACAGTATAAAATAGGTATGAAAATCTCAACATAATTTCCTCTGGTCACTAGGCTCCCAAGAATTTCTGGCGCCAAGGTGCCAGTCACTTGTAGCCTCCTTAGCTCCAAGTCACCACCACTTCACTCCATTTCTTCTCTACTTTACCACGTTTCTAATACATGTTATACCTGCAAGAAAAATATAAAAATAGATTTCTTTAAAATATAATTTCATCCATGAAAATGTGCAAAATATAAATGAAATTTAGCATTCGTTTACACACATCATAGCCCTCCTGTTAACCTTAAACGAGAAGAAGTATCTAAATAGTTCAATTGACCACACAAGCTTCTCTCGCCAACACAAAAGAACAAAAGTCTTGATTGTGGCTATGGAGTTCGACTT